TGGTGATGGTTCAGCAGTCACAAAAGGTTACAAGGTTAACGATGACCTTTACTTTGATGATGGTTGTAAAATTCCGGACTTTGAATTTGATGTCAGTACTGTGAGCTCGGATGGCATTGGTATCTTTGGTGTTGGAAATGCTCAGGATGAAAACNTAGAAAAGAATATTGTTGAAGAAATATACAAAGAACTAGAATTGGACAATGTGGGGTGGTTTGATTGTGATCGTGTGTTCAAAACAGACCAGAATTTGACCTTTGACCTTGGCCCAATCAACATTTCCGTCCCACTTTCTAACTTTGTTTATAGATCATCTTGGAATCCAGATAAATGTGGCGTCTACATATATGATGACTCCAATGCAGGAGGTTTGGAAGGAATTGGGCTTCCTTTCCTCAGAGAGGTTTACTTTGTCAAGGATTTGGAAAAGAAAACCATTGGCATTGCACCGGTGAAGCACACTGACGATACCAATATCGTTGATTTTTGGTTCTGAATTTGATAGTGTATAATGTTCCGTAATTTTTCATAAAACAAGTTTGAATTTCCACCTTATTCATCACTTGTAGTTTTGGACGTCATAGGTTAATGTCACAAATGTCTGATGTGCCGTCTGAAGTGCTTTGTTTCTTTTCCTCTTTCTTTAGAAAACGGTTCTCGTAACGATATCAATACTTGTAACCATATACTAGAAAGGAGACTCGATTCGGTAACTTGCCCAGAAAATACCACCTTCCGTAAACTGTGAGCCGCCATGCTTAATCTATATATTAGTTCTGATTTTCCCTTCACTTTAATATTACACTGATTCCCTGTGCATGAATCTTTGGCACAATAATTTCATTTTTTGTTTCTGTTTTTGTGTTTTTTTACCCCATATCACTTGGTTTTTGTATGTTTTCGTTCCTGGAGGTACCAGATTCTAGAGACTTCGGGAGCCCCAAGTGGATTTTTGTATCCTGTTAGTTTAATTGTGCTACATTCTTAAGAAAAGGAAATGTTCAAAAAGCTGTCCTGGTTGTAGTTTGATCTCTCATCAGCCTCTTTAGCTCTGCCTTTTTTGATCTATTATTATCAGAGTGGCTATAATATTACTTAAAGGGATATTGTTGTCATGGTATTAATTGATCATACGTTGTATTTGTTTCTACTTAACTTCACACATCTGGTACTTATATCGTCGATTTAATTTAGATTCAAAACTTTCCAAACGATTGCAGTTTTAACTTACCAAAACGTTAAAAATTAAACAAACATGATTTCAGTTTTGGCAATGTCTAGTCTTTCAAGTGTCTCATGTAGACGCGGCTGGGTAGTCTGGAGTTTTCACTTTCAGATAAACGCCGCCTTCGCTTGTAATTATCATCACTCGTAGCCACTGCTATTAAATCATCAGTGTAACTAACGTCCATTTTTGCTATACTTTCAGTGGTTCTTTCTTCCAGTGGTAAACCATCAATCTCGTATGTTTCAAATTTAGGATATTGTCTCAAACGCTTCCTTTTGTTAATATCCCATAAACAAACATAGCCATCCGAGCCAGAAGTGAATAGATAATTGTTCCGACTAACGTTTTTCCTAAATGCTAAGGAATTTATGGGGTAGACTAAATCGGTTCCTGATTCTTTATCGAAATGTCGGTGACTCTTGAATACAAAGTTTTTCTCCTGCTGTACTTCGGGTGGCGAGTCTAGGTACTCGACGGACACTCTACCATCTATAGATGAGATTGCAAGCACATCTTGATTAGGCGATGCTTTAATATCGGTCACTTGATATTTTAATCCAACTTCTCTGGTTTCCAATGGAGTTGGAGTTGATGATGTCTCTAGTTTATTCAAGTCATAAATTTCCACCACATTTCCCGCTAACCCAAGAATCAAATACTTATCCGTTGACTCCATTGCCAAAACCTTCCTTCCATTTCTCCAACTGCTCAATGGTTTTTGCAATCGTTGATCCAAGAGCTGTAAATACCCTCTGAATGAGCTGGCTACAACGGAATTGTTTGCCCCTTGACATAAATGATTGATTCCATTTCGTACATCTTCGCCTTCAAATGTGTCGCCCATATTTTTGCCAAGTCTTACATTTTCAAAATCAACTTGTCTTACTGAGCCATCTAACAATCCCACAATTGGCGGTGCTTGGCTATTGGTATTGTTATTGGCGGGATATAATATACTCAATGGGGTATCAGCAACGCTCAATTCGCATATAGGCTCTCTGGGTAACGGTTCATGAGGATAGTTGATAAATGAATGGCAGTCGTATAAGAGCAAAGTATTACCCCAAGTACCTATCAATAATTGATACTGATTGTTTTTGGAGAACTTGATATCAGATATCAAGTCGAGATTCTTTCTCGTAGTCGTCAATTCAATAAACTCACTATTTGAATCCATATTGTTATGCACATTAAAAAAGGTCAATTGATACTTGTTTGTATTTATGGGTTGTACTCCTCAAATTCTCTCTCTTCATTTATCGGAGAGAAATGACATGACTTTCTTTCCCACATAGTGTCGTGTCTTTTATATGTCGTAAATGTTTTGCGACAAACATTTTTAGTAAACGACCACACACAAATAATTTACTTCATTAACGAAAGTGTCTGGTTTATCACTGTTTGTCTAAGTTTAAGAATGATTATTCTAGCCATAGCTATTCCTCTTTTGTTAAAAAGAAAGTAGTTGAGTATGGGCCAAATAGATCTTTCATTTGTATTGGGGAAGCTGGTTACACAATTACCACAATGAAAAATAAAAAATAATCAAATCGCCTAATTAGGAAATATACAAACAAAAACCTCAAAATCAATCTTTTAAATCTTTAAACAATCTGAATATGATGATGCTACTTGGCTTTGTAAAATCTACACGCATCAATTACTTTATAAGAGTTTACATAGTGATAACCTACACATACTAAGCGTACCTTATACACTCATCAACTACTGCAAAACACTATACGATGTCCGCTGCTTCGTCGCATTCGAGACACACTAGCTCAAGTTCGAATTACGACAATGACCATGATTATTCGGCTCCCGTAATTAAACCCAAGTTGGAGTCTATTGAAACATCATCTGCCTCGTCGAACAAATCTCCATCGGTTGCCGATATGCTACCACCTAGTAATCTTAGTGATATTGAATCCTTCGATGACAGGAAGGATAGCGAGTTACACGTAGTTAACAAGGACATGGAAAAACCACATGACAACGACACAACAATTGAGCAACCGTCACCATCACGGTCATCATCTAAGCAAAACAAGTCCGTTTCCCCAGCTCCCTCAGCGCAAGAAACAATGTTGAGTCGAGAGTATCAAACAGTTAGTGTTAAATTGTCACAATTACAAGATACATCGAGTCTCGAGAGTCTATTAGCCAAACCTGCCCATCAACAACCAGCAAACTTATCACGTGCACTGAACAGAGAATCTATGTTTAGTAACATTAGTCAGTACTCGGGACAACTTGAGCTGAGTGCGCAAGCGATACCAGTGGTTTTACAAAGATCTGACTCGACAAAAATCAAATATGTTAAAGACAAAAAGCTGACTGGTGTCGCTGGTGATGATCAAGAGGCGGCTACAGCTGAGAACAAATCAATAAATACAGTTGATCTGGTTGACACGAGCCAGATTTTGAACTTGGGAAAGAAGTCATCTAAGTCGTCCCAGACACCTGACGAAGACGAAGACGAGTCAGACTTTGATGAAAGTTCAATTTTGATGGGGAAAATTCCAACTACTACCGCAGCAAAAAACTTGCAATTAAACCCTGATAAGACGTTTGAAACGAATGTTGAAGGGGCAATTCCAGCACGATCACCAAGACGCCCTACATCAATGCTTCCTCCAGACACGACGTCGAAAGATGTTGTTGTTCCTGATCTTGGTGATAAAGCGGCAAGGAGAAGAACAATGCATATCACCGATGACTTGGATCAGTTAATGCAGGATGCATCGTCAATGTCTTCATTCAATTCAATGAAAATACGCAATGCACTGACGAGACCAGAACAAGAATTGGAAGTTGGTGGGGAAGAAATTGGTGAGAACTCGGCAGTTTTTGATACGACGGCACATTCTGATGATTCGGATGCTGAATCCCATGGTCCAGAAGTTCCTTCTCATAGGTATAGCACCGGTACATCATCAACCAAAATGACGCCATTATTGAATAAATTAGCAGTTGAAGACGACGAAGACTTTGATGAGGGAGAAGATCATAGTGGGCATGGAAATACCACTGGAAATGAATCGGATGTAATCACCATTGCTAAACGTGAGACCTCATTACCACCACGCCCATCGGAAGAAAATATACGCCGGGCAAGAGACGTATCGGCCAATATCCAGAAGCAACAACAAGAGCAACAAGAATCACAGCACCCCATAACTGGACAGGACCACTACTATGTCTCTGATGAAAATACTGGTCACGTTGGAGCTGCTGATGTTAATGATGATGACCAATACTACGACATTGATGAACCTATCCAGCATCCACCAAGAGGAAAATCTGTCAAAAGTTCAATCCGCAGGCCAGCAAGAAACATAACCAATACCGCTGTAAGCATGCCACCAGCAACTTCGGCCCCAGCACCAGGAACTACCACCGCGCAAAAAGAACAACCCCACTCGAAAAAGCACAAGAAGAAACACAAAGACAAGAAGGCCAAGTCAGCTCCAGCCAGAGGCAACGAACTTCGTCCCTTTAGTTACAAAACTCTAGTGTCGTTATTGGAAAGCATGAATGGAACCATCATTGGTGAAGAGTTCAATTCATTAAATATCCCCATCCGCGAAAAACAATTGATTGAGAAGATAATTGATAGTTTGTCGCGGTTGACTTCGGATATGATTTTGGACGAGGAGCGATATGATGTTGGGTTGAAGCGGCTTGAGAAAGCATTGAGAGTGCTTGAAGGGTTCAATTGAGATTAATACAAAGCAAGAACGAAGTAAAAGAATTTTACGTAGTACATACACAATAAACTATAAATACTGTATTATTTTTGTTTGCCTTATGACACTTGGTGTTGCTTTGGATATTCAATTTTAAAGTGTCCATCTTTTTCCATTTTCTCTCTTTATTTAGTTTCTTCAGCTACATATTGAATAAAACATTTAGTAATCCGGTCCATCATATCTTCAATCACATTACAACTAATCAAGAAATCATAATTCAATTTAATTAACAAATGGTTTTCTTGCAAATTGATAATTTCGTCATTCTCATTCCGTTCCAATTCAGATATGCTCTTGAACATCAATTCAAATAATCGTTTAAATTTAACATTTTTTGAATTCAAATTGTTCTTCAAGGACACTTTGATTAAATTCTTCTGCTGTTGGTCTTGGCCGCGTGAGCTCTTGTTGAATTTATTTTGTTTAAAGGATAACGAAATCAAGATTTTATCCTTTTGAATCTTGCGCGTGTTTTGTATCGTCGATGATAAATTAAACATAAATTGAATCAGATTGAGGTTTTTGAAAATGGCGTCAAAGTAAATCTTGTTTAATCCATTACTCAATTTTAAATCATCTTGGGATGCATGTTGCGGGCTGCTGGTGTTGTGGCCACCCTTTTCACGAAGCAATGTTTGAACTTGTTTGACAGCACGATAAATCGGATCAAAATTGGTAAGATATGTGATTATGCCGACGATATTCGTCGATCTAGTCTGTCGCAAATACTGATTCAAAAAGTGGATGATAATTTCAATTTCCCACGGTTTGGTCTCCACGGTACGTATCTGTATAGCATTTTGCGGTTGTTGTGGTAACTGAATCAATAATTTATCAATGGCCTCATTTACTTTAATCACCATACTATCCATTGAATTGTCCAAGATTTCGATATTGTGATCGTTCAACTGGTCAAGAATTTGAAGCAAATTGTTCAACTTGCTTAAATTATCAAAAATGGGACTCAAAAATCGTTGCTTTTGATGATCCCGATGTTCATTTATAATCAGATTCAAGTCGACAGACGTAGCAATTTCAAGATTTTGCTTTTGATGATCGATTTTAAGATTAAACTTGGCCAATTCGGGTGAGTTCTTAATGGATAGGTTTTTCAATTTTCCAAATAGATTCAAGTTCATCTTGTTGATATTGTCATCCTCATTGATCAATTGTACTTGTAAATAGAAATGCGATGAGGAGTTTTCAATCGGGATCAAGTTTGTGTTTTGCAATTTGATTATTGACTGGTAAATAATCACTTGGTTTTGGGACTCTTTTGAATTTACCAAACCAAGATCGACAAGTTCATTTCTAACCTGTTTTGCATCTTCGGTTTGCGCTTCATTCTCATTCTCATTCTCATGTTTCTGCTCATCGGCCAAGACATGGTCATATTCGATTCCATTAGCATGTAATTCATCCAAAATGACATGATTGATAATCTTTTTAAATGTAGATTTACCCAAGTTTTTAAAGAATTGGTAATCCAACGATGGATTAAAGACCAAATTTTGCAAATAGCTAACTACCCAATTGGCATCAACTGACTTGATTCGGGCCACCCACCATGCAGTAGTCGAAGTTAACCCGTTGATCATAACAATGAGAAACCAAGTTGAGGGCCAGTGCTTGCGGCGGTAAAATTGTACCGTTAAATGATCCTTGTTATTTGTTTTATCAATTGATTTCAACAAATTATAGATTTCTGCATCATTCAACTTGATGATACTATTGTGGATCCATTCAGTGGTGGACAAGTAATTGTTGACTTCCTTGGTGAAAGTTTCCAACATCAACTGATGTATTACTGCAACGACACCCTCAGCAAAACCAGTTTCAGTAACAAGTTGCTGCTGTTGCTGCTGTTGCTGCTGTTGTTTAGATAATGATAGGGGAGGCGAATTGATCCGTTTTAAAAGTCGGTTCTGTATTGGGCTTGGGTTTATGAAGTAGAACAACCCCGTCAATGGATTGATTGCCAATACGGCTGATTTCTTTGGTGATATGGAAAACATAATCTGGTGCGAATTTACCAACTCAATATTACCAGTTATCCTAGTCCGAAGAAGTTTAAATATAATCTTGATAATGCTGGCTGAATGCGAAATCATGAATGTGCTAAGGACGGACTCGATATTGACTCCCTCAACGGAATCACTCTCATATTCTGATGGCACCACCTCATTCAGTTCTTTTGGAATAGAGTCACCACCCTCCTCGGTCTCACCACTATCTCTATTTTGTACGGTTTTCCTCACAACATCATTGCTTTCATATTTCCCATTTCGGAACCATCTATAAGTCAATTTAAACCTTTGATCAATCCCAATTTCAATAAATGATTTCCAATTAGAATTTAGGAAATGCAGCGACCAATAATTGACTATAATCAACGAGCTTCCCATGGCATACTTGATTTGTAAATTATTTCTCCACTTCAATGTATGCAACAAACCACGAATCTGTTTCGAAACAAGATACAATTTAAAAGAAATGGAATACTTGTGCAACAACTCATACAAGCCCTGTAATCCCAGAACGTTCAAGACTTGATTGGCAATTTTCTCCAATTTGACATACGATTGTGTCGGTAGTCTAGTAACAATCCTATCGCTTTCACTATCGCCAAAAGTAACCAAAGTTTCATTGCGATCAATTCCAAATAAAAATTTAAAATCAATCATGTAGAATGGGTTATCACTGTTTAAATCGTCATTAGCCATGGTAACACTAACTTGGAATTCCTTAGCCACGTCAATATAAGTACGTCCATCTTTTATTTCAAATTCAAATTGGGATGGAACGTCAATCAAGGCAAACTTAGTCATTAATGCCAAATTCAAATCCTGCAACACTTCCAATACTTTACGTGAACTAATTTTCGGTTGTTGTAAATAATTATGCGATGGTAAAACGGGTCTCTTTTTATAAAACACTTCCAAGGCAGTTTCAATGTCAAAATTGGGCAACTTGGCCCCTCCAAATCCACTCAACCCGGCTAATTCATGCATTAGATGATCAAAGTGGAATTCTTGTAATCGGAACCAGTTTAACAAATCAATAAATCTCGATACATCTTGTGATACACTGGCCCATTTGATCAAAGTATATACCTTGAGGAGATCCTGTCGTAATGCCACAATTATATCAAGAAAGTACTTTTTCCGCTTCACGTCCGACTCTTCATCGACACTAGTCGACAAGTTCTCTACTGCCGTTGTCAACTGTTTGTATGCTTCTTGGGCGTAGAATTTGAGGATATTGGATAAGGGGATTAGATTGGCGGTAATGTGGGGGATACTAGGTAGTTGCTGCTGCTGGTGGTCGTGTTTCGATATGGCGACTGCGTCCGCCTTTCCATTCTTGGCTACTTCTTCTATATTTCCATTCTGTGGTTCTCCCATTGTGGACCATTTAGGTTGTGATTGATGTGTAGTATATTTTGGTTGTACTGTATTTGATAGCCGTTATTTAGAGAGTTTGATCTTGGTGGCTGGTGGCTTGGTAAATCTATGCAAATAAATAAATAAAATAAAAGTAATACAACAAAGCTATAGCTTAGGGAATAGTATAAATGAATGTGATGAAGCAAAGCAAGCTGTTTTGAGTAATGTATTGATTACAAATGACCCAACTTTCACAAGATAGTCAGCTTTCTTTTGATGCAAATGCTATTAATTTGTGTGTGTGTGGTGGAAAGGTAAAAATGCTTTTAATCCCGAGAGTGGGATTCGGATTTTGTTGTAAAATAAATTTTTTTGGTTTTCTTCTTGTTCTTTTTTCATTATTTCTTTTCGACTAAGTCGTAAGAAACAATTTTGCGACTTTAAAAAATACTCCCCCCATTTTGTGCATTTCCTCCTACAAAAGATGACACTTTTAATTTTTGAGCGTTTATTATTTCTACTCTTCTACCAAGTAATACATAAAATATAATACAACATTAGCGAAAGAAAAAAGGAATAGCATATACAGCGATAGTTATAAAAGATTGATGAGTTTTATTGCATTAGGTTGAATCTGACAATGGCTTGTGGCACGTTCTCCTTTATCCACTTGAACTCTTCTTTTTCCAAAAGTTTCCCCACTGACGGACGTCGATCCTTACGCACCAACACAGCATCAACAAATGATTTCAATTGTTTGTGAATTACTCTTATCTCTTCATGAATCAGGCCATTATTGATACGGTCATTTATATCTTGCCATCCCCAATCAATCATGGCGATTCGATGAGCAGTACTGACTTTCTTCGATTTCCTTCGTTTCAACACTGAGGGCGAGATACCGGAGTTTGATGTTGCTGACGACGAAGAAGGTGCTCGAACATCAAATGGGAGTTTTGCTTCCAAAATTGAGTAAACGAGGACTCCGATCGACCAAGTGTCAGTTGAATGTCCGTTGTATTTCAAGCCCATGAGTATTTCGGGAGCAATATAGTCTTGTGATCCGCATCTAGTTTGTAACATTTGGTCAGGTGAAGTGAGTTTTTTCGACAATCCGAAATCACTTAGATTCATAAATGGCGTTGACATTGTTTCATTATATGCAAATATTTGATCTACTTCTTCGGCCGAGTACAACAACAAGATGTTTTCCAACTTGATATCTCGATGAATCACATTTTGTTGATGGAGAAACGACGTAGTAAGGATAAGTTCACAAACAATGCGACGAAGGTAGATCCAGTAGTTGATATTATTCTCATTCATAGATTGACCATGTTCCAAAAGAAACGACAACAAGTTTCCACCATGACAATAGTTGATGAAGATTAATTGGTCTCGATTTTCAGGCACATCTTCTGAATAAGTACTAGAACCACCCTCTTCCGAATCTGCATCTTCAGGAATGATTTCTGCCTCTATATCTTGTTTCTTAATATCCAATGTGATATCATACTCCAATAATGAAGTTATACACGGATGGTAAGACACGTGGTAAAGAATATTCAACTCACGAAGAATAAATGATTTGAAATTGACCACTTGAGATTGTGATTCGGGAATGGTTATAATTTTAATTGCAACTTCATCATTAATACTCCTAGCTAAAACAACAGTACTAAAATTGCCCTGTCCCAACTCTTTTATAAACTTGAAGGATGTATTGTATCTATGAGAATAAAACTCGATATTATCATATTTCGAACTTTGTTGAGGTATAATTGGCGACGTAGATGGAGTAATGGGTGATTCTAAACTAGTTGGTTGTTGATGATGTGATTGCTCCGTATGATGATTCTTATCTGAGCTTGTTGTTGATTCGGTGCTGGAGGCACTAGTCATGTCTTTCAATTCAACAGGATTGGACACCACCCTTTTCCCCGTATTTAAGCTATGAGCTCTAGCAATTGGCTTGAAATCGGAAATAATTCTTGGAGATGCTGATTGTGCTGGCTTGAACCAATTAGCGCTATCTCTCCGTTTAGGTGGAGATGATAAAAGCGTTTGTTGGTAGTGACTGTAGTTGGCAAATGAATCATTGGGTAATACTGGTGTAGGAAGTTGAGTTATGCCTTCCAATGGTACGGCTGCAGTATTGGTTGCTGGTTTAGTTTGATTTGATGGTGATGGTGATGGTTGTAGTTGTTGTTGTGGTTGTTTTGTCCCTGCAGGAGCAGATGCTCCGGTATTGGTGTAATTGGTGTCATTTTGGTGTTGAAATGATAGTGGTTCGCCAAGAATAGTATGTAATGATCTAATGGAATGATGTTGTGTTGGTTGTTCCACATAATTGTCAATGTTTGCATCATTAGACGGTACATCAATCTTTAAATTCTTTCCAAGCAATCTACTAGGATGTGATGAGGTTGATGGACTGTGGTATATAGAGCGGGGAAGCGTGTCATCAGATGCTGGATTTGGTGATGGTGAGGGCGACGAAGACGAGAAAGCAAACTCGTGATGCTGCATGTGTGAAGAATGGACGTGGTCTGCAATTTGTGGTGGTGATGTTGTCAGCGTAGTGTCAATACCCATTGCTGATGATGGATGCGGTACTGGTGTCTCGTTAGTGGCAACGTGGGCAAAGTTGACTGATGGTGATGATAAGTCGTTGTCACTGTTGTTATTACTGCTGTTGTTGTTGTTGTTGTTGTTGTTATGCAGTTGTGGTACTAGTCTCGTCATGAGTCTTGTGGGGTTGTTATCAGAAGACATGACTTACTCGTCGTTCTATCTTAACTAAGGTAAAATTTGTTTTCAAAAGTCAGTTGGAAAAGTTCAACACTGTTAGATCTCCCTAAAAATAAAATTATTTATGAGATCTGGGTGTGGTATGGAGTAGATGTAATACGGTATGTGAGTTGATGCAAATCTGTTGTTTTTGTCTGTGAGTGGGTGGGTGACTAATTAATAGTATTAATTATAATATTATTATTATTATTACTACTACTACTAAGAATACACGCAGTAGATTAAGTGGGACTGTTATTGGTTGCGTTTGTAATGGGGTTGGTGTTGAAATTGGTGAGGAGTGAAATAAACGTGGTGGTGGTAGGTAGTTGTGTGTTGTGTGCTGTGTGTTGTGAGAATTGTTTGGGTTATGTATCTATATATATATATATATATATATATGTATATTTATTGTTATATATTGTTATAGGAAAAGCGTGATTGAGTAATGATGATGAACGATGGCTTGTTTGTGTATTTCTCTTTCTCTCTTTCTCTCTCTCTTATTGTTAGATGTGTAAGATTTATTGTTAATTGTGTGTTAAAATGTAATGATGTAGTTTTTTGTTGAGTTTAGATTAGTCACACAATAACTAAACGCAACTTAACTCAACTTACCTTAAAAACTCCATCAACCAAACTACGAAGTTAACTGGCTATGAATAGATATTGCATGAGGCAGTGTGCTGTATGTTCATGTACTTTGGCGGGAAAAAAAATATACTTACTCATGTAGACAAGCCTTGTGGTGTTTAATATCCCTACAGACAACAGAGAAGCAAGGCTTACTATATATATATATATATGTCTTATATTCAGTATATACAGATAGGGCTTTGTATAACCAGCTACGCTTATTACTTGCTCTCCTTTGTTTTGTTTCTTACTATAGTTGCTATGAGTTTATCTATATCTCTCTATTCTCCACCTACTTCTCTTTCTCTTATACTGGGGCATCTCAAAGGAGGAAGAAGAACAGGAAGTAAAAGGAAAAGAAAAGTGGAGATATTGATTGGTTACACAATGACATATAAATACATATATACATAACTATATAAATTTTTAAGTAATTCTGCTTTTGCTTTTCTTGTTTTGACATTTGACGATCAAATTTAAAAGAAATGACATCTCTGTCGCTGCCTCTTGGCACTTCGCTTAATTCTGAAAGCGTATACATATGTATATACATACTGCACTGACTGTACTTCTGGTTCTATAATACCGGTTAATGATGAGATTATAGATATAAATTATTCACTAAACAGAATAAATTGGAAGAAAACAATAAATTGAGTGCGTGTAAAAGTGTTCAAAAAAGAAGAACAAAGAACAAAGAACAATTAAAACGCAAGGCGTGTAAAACAGTTTGTTGTTTGTTGGTTCGATAAGAGAGAGAAGAGAGAAAGCCCCATTAACAACAAGGCTTTACCTACTTAATAGAGTGGAATAGCCTGCTGAACCACCCCTTGTTCCCCCTTCCCCCTCCCCCTGACTAGTTATTCTTCCTACTTTGTTCTAATAAGGTACACACTATTTACATACACATATAATTAACAAGGCTGCCAAAGTGAATTCAGTTTTCTAATTGTATTGCAAGTGAAACACGCCAAAGATGCAAACAGACCCCTCCTCTTTCTCTTCATCTTCTTCTTCTACGTCAATAAAACCAGCTAACTACTTTTCCTTGCTCACTTTTGTACATTTTGTATTTATTATTGTAACTTATACATATATCGCGTACCAAAAAAAAAACAACAAAGACAACCAATGAAGCCGCCCATGACAATCGATTGGATTCACAGTTAGTCTCTATACACACTACACACGCCACTATATATCACCTTAGTATGTAACACTTCTTTACTGCATCTGGCTCATTATTCCTATAACTCTTCTCAGTTGAATCCGCTAATCACCTTACTACTACACTTCTACGTCAAAGATATTGTCCTATATTGCACTACTTTTTTATTCCTTTTTGGGTCACTACTTAGGTAATATACACTTTTTCGTTTATTCTTTTTTCCCAATTAGGAAATAATCCTTCCCAATTGGGACAAGCTATATTAGGTAATATAAAGATTAAACTACCTACTTAAAACTTCCTTCCCCATTTAGGTAACAGTATACACGTACATTACTCACCCAAAACCATCAGATCATACTTCTGCCCCTAGTCACTGATTAATGAAAAAAAAAAGCAACTGACACATTTCTTTTGGTGCCACAGATTTAGAGATTATTCAATTTGCGCTTTTCTTTTTGTTGGAGGGGGTCTTTTCAGATTTTGCGCAAAGTTTCTTCATCATTGTCTCCCAAACCATAAAAGTCATTTAAACTATTGAAATGTTGTTTATGAAGTGAGATGCAATTCTTTACATGGTCAATAACAATACAACTGCACTTCTTTTACATATTTCTAGTACGTTTGGATGATCAGTGTCACCTCATATTCTTTCTTTGGTTATTATCTCTCTTTGATATGACTACGTATTGACATCACGCACTGACACGCACCGAAGGTGTTCTTACAGGACCTCTTTCGTCTCCACCCCTTTGATTATTCACTTGTGTTATCTACCTCATCCACATCTTTCAGTGAAAGTGTTACATGTAATTTCCATACTCATGTCGATTACTCGATAGGATAACAATATTCTTGACGCAATTTTGATGGGAATGGCTATAGCATTTCCCCTTCTATATAACCAAACTTGAAAGAAGGAACAGTCTATCTATCGGTGACATAAGTTACATAATGTTCTTAGTTTGGAAACTTCGCTCCAGCCTCAAGCTGGCAAAGATAATTAGAATGGCATAGTTGGAATCGCAGTTGTGCCCTGAGGACTAGCCTTGATGTAGATCATGGTTTGTGGTCCCTTCATCGTACAGTCAATAGGGTTCAAAAAGAGTAGCATCCAATGCTAAGCTTAAACTATTCATTCTTCCTCTTTGGAACCCCTAGTCATAGTGCAGGTTTTGCAATTTGGAACCATTGGGAGTAACAACTGTTTCAAGTTTCTCAATAAAGAGGTGTCGTAAACAAAAGAAGACACGTCAAATCCAAAAAATAAATAATTTAAAGTATGTGGGATTGAGTTTTATACACTACCTTCTCTCTCGCTTTCTCACCAACCCACACGGACAACGAAAACTAGATCAACGTAAAAAGCTTTTGCTTGTCCCTGGAAATTTTTCATCGACCTTAACCAAAAGTATCTTTTCTGATTCACAGTAAGAAGGTAGAATAAGAAAAAACAAAGTCACAACGGATATGTCGTCGCATATTGAGTCCCCAGTACGAGAATCCAAGAATTCAATTGATGATTTATTTGGAGGGGCAGAAGAGGCGGTAGACAACCACGATGATGATGATTTTTTTGCATCAATTCAACAAAATCATCCCATAACTCCATATGATCAGCAGGAGAACTTGAAAATTGATGATATAAGTTACCCAGATGAGGGTATAAATAGTTTGAGTGGTGGCGGAGGTGCTAATGAAAAGGAATCACATGATGAACATTATTGGCCCGATCATGAAAGTCACGAACAACCAGCAGGTCATCAAGAGCAACCACAAGAGCAACCACAAGAGCAACCACAAGAGCAACCACAAGAACATGAAGTGCCTGGTTTTTTGCAGCATAACAATGATGACAACGGCGAGGATGATTTTTTCAAAAGCCTTACGGTGCCTCAACCAAAAGAAGTCTTCCGAAGTAGTATTGATACAACTGAGCATATAGAAGTTGCACCACAAGAAGAACTAGGAGATACACAACAATTAGCGACAGGCGAGGAAGATCCACGTTATAGCGAGCATGAAGATCAAGCATTTGCACAGGCATTAGAGTTGGGTAAAGAAGATCAACCTGAAGTTAAGAAAAGCAATGACAATGAGGATAATGGTGAATACTATAAATTGCCGCAGTCTCCCCCACGGGATGACCAAAGTGACGTGAATGACAAGGATTTGGACAACGATAGTTTATTTAATGCATCTCCTATTGGCGCATCTGAAGATAAAGATGAGTTGGACTTCCTATTGAATGAAAATCATGAGCATGAGTTAGGATCTGTGCATCTGGATCACGTGCAATTGGAGACCCAAAATACACCGGCAATTCATGTGGGAGAGGAAAAGTCTTCTCCAGAAGAACAAGAACAAGATAGATCAAAACATGCAGGCCAAAGCAAATCGGTCGATCCCCAGATTGAATCCAAATTGGATGACTTGTTTCAGGACGATGATGCAGATTTCTTCCAGAACTTGGGAACTGAGAAGGATATAAATGAAAAGACCTTTGAGAAGGAAATCAAGGATGCTGACAAAATCCTAACCCTGGAAAGGGATGAAGAGGACACCAGCAAAGTTGATGATAGCCACAAAGATGTGGCAAATACAGAAAGCCCTGGCGAGCATAAATCGACTGACAAACTTGCAAATAAATTCAAAGATTTGGAGTTAGAATTAGACGACGACCTTTTACTAGACGATGACTTTTTGGACGAGCCACAAATTGAAACCCCATCTCAAATTTCAGTTCAGGCGCCAGTGCAGCCTAAGTATGCACCAAAATCACAACAGCAACAACAACAACAACAACAAAAGCCTTCTTTGTATGCTCAGCCCCCACAAGTTCAACAGCGAGATACATCCACCTTTGTGCAAGGCTTGGAAAGCTCAAAAAAGAAGAGCGATGCATATGACTTCCCTGATGATTTGATTGTAAACGAGGTCAAACCGGCCCCCAGACATTCGGTGAACAAGTATGCGCCTACATCTGGGGTATCACAAAGTTCTATAAACACATTAAATTCGGGCTCGAATTCTACTTTAGCTGCTACACCACATGCGCAAGCATCAAGTTTGTCTAGATCTTCTTCCCAATCACAAGCAAAGGACAAGCCGAAACCCCCACTGCAACAAAAGAAATCTTTCTTTGAAGATTTTCCTGATACGGATTTGCCAAAGCCAAAAAAAGCTGCTAGAACTGCTGCACCAGTCAAAGCTCTCAATCAATATCATCCCGTAACATCTCCAATCCTACAACAAGTTCAACCCCACAATGCCCCACCTCAAACCCAGGTGCTTCCAAAGGCTAGTAAACAGCCACCGATAAATCCATACATGCCAAAATCGGGCACGTCACCCATTCTCCAACAGCATGTTCCTATTGTTGGGCACACTGGTATTGCCAAGCCTAGTGTTAATATGCCGCATGGTGAAGGTACTTCTAACCCTGCATATGCCTTCCCTCCAACTGGTGGGAAACCAAATCAACAACAACAATACCAGCCACTTCCCCACCCACCATCTATGCAACAAAGCCCTCTGCATCTGAAGACTATGCCTCCTCCATCAAATATGTATGCACCAGCTGTGGGCTCAGCGCCACCAATGCAATCTCAGCCACCACAACCACCTCTTCCAGTCCCACCGATGGCTAATCCACCTTCTGCTACTCAAGGTTCACAAAGCAACAGAAGAGCTTCAACTTCAATAAACACAAATGTGGGGAGGTCAGGACTGCCTAATTCAAACAGTCCCTATGTTCCAAATGCTGGTCCTTATGCTCCACTGAATCAGCACAAGTCCCACAACCGGACAAATTCACTCATGGGTGGTAAGGGGAAGGAGATCAATCCATACGCTCCAATGGTATCTCCTGCTGTTGGAGATGGCTCTCCCTTGGTACAAAGTCAACAAATGCAGCATCCAACAGCTACTGCCACAGTTGTCCCACCTCCAGGACGAGTGCGTGGGTTTTCCAATGCCAGAAACAGCAATATTTACAAAACGGCCCCTAAGGTTGTCAATCCTGAAGATTTGGTATATCGACAATTTCCTGTATTCAATTGGAGTACGTCACAAAATGTTGCCTTGGTAAGAGTCAATAAAGCTTATAATCACCCTGTGGTTAGTGTTGAATCGATCACTAACTTGTGTAAGGACAAAGACTTGTATGTAAACTTCCCTGGTCCATTGGTCAAAGGCAAACTGAAAAAGAAGGATATTTTGAGTTGGTTAGGCGTGGCGGGTGATTTCCTCCGTGCAAATGCGTTTGATAATGAGGCGATATTGAATGACGTGATGGCACAACTTGTCCATTTTGACGGTGATTTAAATTCACAAGAGTGTTTAAAACAAATCTGTCTCATCTTGAATCCAAACATCAACTTTAATATCCAAAATTTGCCCATGACTGGGGGAACCGCCAATGCGTACAAGTTGGACAGTGCTAGCATTAATACAGTATTTGCCTTGATCCAAGCTGGTCACGTTGATAAGGCTTTGGAGTACACCATTACAAAGGGTGATTGGTCAATGGCCCTAGTACTTGCTAATTTTAATGGTGGGGAAAGCTTTGCCAAAATTGCATCTGAGTATGCAAGAAATGCATTTCCTTTCTCAAAGGCGAATAACAAAGTGTTGCATATTATGCCAATTCTATTAAAGGTGCTTGCTGGAAATGTGCAAAGTGTCATTCAAGACTTGACTAGTGTGGTTAATGAGGGTGATTATGCTGATTTGCATTGGAGGGATATTGTATCTTCAGTGGCCATGATCAACACTATAAAATCGAAGGAGTTTTTGATTGAGTTTGGTAAATTGTTAATCACTCGTGGTAATCAATTGGGTGGGGAAATTGCCTTTCTATTGGGTGGTTTACCTCTTGGTCAGCAAGGTTTCATGGTGATTTCATCTGGATCTAATTCTATGTACACTCAGTTGTATGAATACATTTTGGTATCTAACGCTAAGTCGGCGCCATTACCTCACTTGTTGCCAATCAAGTTGAAACATGCATCTACTTTAGCTGATTATGGATTGATAAATGAGTCACAAAAATACATTGATTATATCAATACGATCCTAAAATCTTTAGGCAACCGGTCGCCATTTGTTTCACAACAATTGATTCAAGAGTTTCAAAATTTAATTATGAGATTAAGCGAACTAGGATCAACCGAACAAGGAGGATGGTTTGGTAGCAAGATGAGTAAAGTCAATCTTGATAAAGTGTGGGGTCAAATTGATAAATTTATTGCTGGTGACGAAGCCAAGCCCAAGAGCAATGATAATGGAGTATTTAGTAAATTTAGTCCAGCTACATCGAGAAATACTTCGACTTTGGATTTGGGTACCTTACACAGTCATATTTCACCAGCAATGAGAACTCCAGATACATTTGAGAGAAAACCACCAGTGACACACCATGCAAGCTTCCCAATTGGTGCCACTGGTGGTAGTACTAGTGCTGCAGTTGCTCCACCTTTGGTATCACAATTATCGTCTAGTTCTATCAACAAATATGCACCTCCAAACCTAGCGGCTAATTCCTCCTTCCAGAATAATGCTATAGCAGGAGGGGGAGGTGCTGCTGCTACTGCTGCTGCTGCTAATACTTCAATTGGAGCAATTCCTCATACTGCTGGTCCTGGCTCGGACAGGTATTCACCATATGTGCCATCAGCCAGTAATGCATCTCAATTCCATCCTATACCTGACTCATCGCATCAATCGTTTCTGCAAAGCAAAGGATATTCGCCATCAGGTCGTAAAACTGCATCGTATCCATATACTAATCAAGCAGCACAATTGTCGACCTCATCACTTGGGTCTATACCTCAACAGCCCAATTTTCATGGCAAGACTAACTCGATATCAAGTGTAATTTCCGGTGATGCTTTTCATCATAATAATGCTACACCAGTTGGCGGTAGTGGTGGTATTGCCACTTCCGGACACCCCCATCGTGCACCAGAACAGCCAGCCGGTGCGACAAATGTGCAGAATGACGATGACCGGATTGAAACTATTAAGGAGTCACCTGAGTTGAACCCCATTCTGCAACCCCCACTGTTGGAGGTGTTGCAACATCAACAAAGCACGACGACATCGAAACCTCCGACCAAGAAACTGCCTCCACGTGCCGAAGAGACAGTAGAACCTGTTGAACCAGCACAATCATCTGCTGTGGCTACTGAAAGTAGCAAAGTGGTCGAGCAAATTGCCGAACCAGCTGGACCAAGTAAAACTGATCCAATAGATGCAATTCCACCGCCTCCTGTGCTAAAAACCAAATCGGCACCGCCTACTGCGAGAGCTAATCCATATGCTCCTAGAAGTGCAGCCAAACCGGCCTCTAGAAGAAACAAATATGGTCCAGCAGTTGCTGCTTCGTCAAGTAACAAGTACGGTCCTGGAGGAAACAGTGAAGGTGGCAACAAATATGGACCTCCATTAGTGCCATCGGTTGAGAAAAATGGAATACCTACAGGAGATAAAGAACTGGAGCCAACAGGAGTCCCACCTGGACCTGCTGCTCAACAGCCACCAACTAATATCGATTCAAGTTTTGGTATTTATTCGGAGCCCACAAGAGACGAATCCAAGGCAATTGAACATGATGGTTTAGCTCCATCAGAGAACGAGCCACCCAAGGCCACCGTTCCTGGTATAGATGATAGCTTTGAAGAGCCCTCACTTGCCGAATCAACATCAATATTACACACTCCACGAGCAAAGCCCTTGAACTTGAACCAAGGGCGTGGTTATGACCCAACGAATACTCCAGGACCAAACTTTATGAATCCAGGATTTGTCAGTACTGATACTAATACAAACCGCGGTGGTGCCGCATTGGATGGATTTCCGATCCCGGGAAGTCCTGAATCCACTACGCGTGCCAATTCCGTATTTGGTGGCACTCATGGGCCCTCGCATGTGGGAGGTGGTGGTGGTTTGTTTTCTTCTCGATTAAGTCAATCGCAACAAAGTGCGTTGTACCAGCAGTATGAAGTACAAGATGATACTGTACGTGATTATGTGCCAGTAATTGAAGAAGAAGAGGATGAAGATGAGGACGATGGTGATGCCAAGAACAAGAACAAGGCGAAGCAGAAGATTGCTGAAAAAGAGGCCACGGCCAAAGCCGAAAGGCAAAAACAGGAAGCTGAAGCGGCAAAGGAACAAGAGAAGAAAAGGCAGAAGCAAAAACAAGGAAAGGATGGTTGGTTTAATGGTTGGTTGGGAAAGAATGATGGTAAAGAAACACCAACAAGGGCTCATTTGGGAAATAAAAACACATTTTACTATGACGAGAAACACAAGAGGTGGTTAGATAAATCAAGACCAATTGAAGAACAGTTGAAAGAGGGCCAAGCTCCACCGCCCCCACCTGGTATGAAGCGGAAACCAGCTGGCCCATCGGCTCCTGTTGGCTCTAATGCACCAAATAGTGCACCACCTCCTGCACCAGCATCAGCACGGCCAACGTCCCTGTCGTCCGCATCCTTACCTAATGCTAGTTTGCCACCGGCGCCTGATTCATTGGCACCTACCCCTGCTTCCGATAATACAACGGGTCAATCTAGCTTAACTACACCTAGACCTACACCTGCGCCTAAAGCGAAATCAAAAGCTAAATCAGGTGGTGGAACCACCAACTTGGCCAATGCTGGATTGGATGATTTGTTGTCGTTGAGTGAAGGCACTGGAGGCGGTGGTGGACGTAAGACTAAACGAGCAGGACGTAGAGGGTATGTTAATATGATGGACAAGTAATCATGAACTGACTGATTGTTTTATAGGAAAGTAAAAATATACAAGCACATAAAGTTTAAGTACAGGGGACTTTTCATCCCTATTTACACTGGGAAATCCCCCCCCCCCCCCCTAGAATCTACTAGGCCGCTACATGGAAAAGATTCTACAGTGAAGGTACCCAGTTAAAAGCACCTTAATTCATGAGGCTGATATTTGGGTATGTTGTCATATAAACAATAACGATTACATTCAGGGTTTATGAGAAGCCATTAGTAGGTCTGACGTTTGAGTTGCAAAATGTTCTCAACTATCTGATTTTTGTAACTCTTTTTTGAGTCTCTATCCAACGATATACTTGTTTATTTTCAGAGATGTCAGATTATTTCGCTATAAAATTCGAGTCTTAGCTCTTAACTATGGAATGCACGCCGAGAAGTTAGTTCTATCCATAAATGGGTACCTCGCTGTGTTGTAATAGTGAGTACGAAAATACCGATTACAAAACACACCGTTCTGCCAATGGAAGTGACCACCTATCTCAAATGGGCCGATGCATTCTTATAAAACGTCTGCCACAAGTATGCCTCGCTTAGCATTAATTCGACGTCTTGTTCCCTCCAATTCGATGTTGGTGGACTTTGTAAAAACAATAAAATTTCCTGAAAGTCTTTCTCCTTCAAATCTGTGCTGAACTTTATCAAAAATGAAGCACAAACATAGGTATGAAAAGCGCTAAATCCTAATGGCTGCTCGCTTAAATAAGTATCCCACATACGTATGATTAATTCAATAGGCAATTCTCGCATTAGCATACAATTCATCCATCTAAATGAAAACTGTAAAAATTCAACACCTTCTTCGTCAAAATGTTTAATCAAATCGTAATCGATTTTTGAAACCAAGTTCCTCAAGTCTTTAACTTGTCTTATTATGCCTGGTTGTTCATGAATGTAGTTGTCGGTAATGTTTTCGAGCAATCTTGACAAACTCCAGTATGTATCTGACTCGATGACTGATGTTATCCTCTGACTCAACTTTCCGGTGTCAAAGTTGTGGATGGTGTAATTTTGTAAATTTTTATCAGCAAGTAACGCATTTTCCTCTTTGTCATCACCATTTGACATGTATCCCGGAATGAAAAGGTCGGTATCACCATCGTCATCGTCTTTGTTTTTCATTGACTGTTTTCTCTGCAACTGCCAGAGGTAATGGTACAAAAATATTTGATAAAACGGAGTGGCCAAGTCATTTATGCCCTGTACATACCCACTCGCTGGATGTCTCATGGCCCACAAAAATAAAATCTTTCGAAGTGACATTTGTGTACTCTGATAGGCATACAATTTGATAGAAGGATTGGTCCGTTTAACGTCTATATTGATCTGATGGTAAATTAATGCTTCTCTATTTCCGTTTGCACTCGCCTCTGGTTTTGTCTTCTCATCAAAATTGATCTGAATATTACCAATTCCATCTAAGTATTCCTGACGTTTTCTTTTTAAAGTTGAGCTTTGTCTAGACTTGTTAGTCGGTAGATAACCTAAAAGTAGCAGCCAGGACAACGCTCTGAGCTCATTTGGAATACCATTCCATGACAATTGACGCAATTCATGAATGTTGATAACGCTCTCAGACGATAGCACCGATTTAAATTTAGCATACTTGTTTTTCAATTGGTTGAGTCTACTGATCTCAGCATTTGCTTTAGAATCCTCAATGTCTAAAGACTGTTTGATGTTGGTTTGTGGGGACATCTGCACAGTTAAATCTGGATATAATGAATCTAATATTGGAGGTGGTGGCACTGCAGGCTTTGAAACTTCGTCTTGTAAGTCTGCATTCCAATCATCATCCAAATCAGTGTACTTTGTCCTGGCGTGTTTTTCACTTCTTGAAAATGATCTAGGTGATGTATCCCTTTGATGGTCCCCTCCAAAAGATGACCCAATTGACGCTGTTCTGTTGATCGACGGTTGTGGTACAAACGCTGACCCGTGGCTTAGCATGGGGTTTGATCCATTCCGCCCTTTCTTGTAAGATAAACTCCCGTAGATGTTGCTATTTGCCTCCTCGATAGATTCTTGGCTGTTGTTATTGCTGGATCCTGTCAATGACAAATTCTTTAAAAAGGACGAAAGGTTCTTGCCTTTACCCCCTTGCTCGCCGAATATGAATTCGTTCTTAGAACCATTGTATACTTGTGCCATTTCTTGTTTCTTTTTGCCCATACTATATAGTCATGTATGAGTAAAGCTCTGTCGATGTTGAAGATATATATGAAAGGCAAAACAGACACTTTTGTTGTCGTATAGAATATGTAGTATGTATATATTACGCAACACAAAAAAAAAACACAAGAGAAAAATCAACAATATCAACAGAAGAACATTTGCAAGGAAAAAGCAATCAATCATCATCCCATTAAGAGGAAAATAAAGAGAGACAAAACCCCATCTCCTCGCTAAACCTATCTCTAGTTTAAAATACTTCATTGCAATAAATGACTTATACTGTACACAGGATTTTCTCTATTGAGATGAAACTTCACCCTTAACAGCCACTGCACCTTGTTTCAACTCTCTACCAGAAACGTGCAAAGCACCGTTCTGGGTAATGTTCACGGTAACTTCCAACTTTGAATTTGGTTTCAAGTCCTTCAATGAGAACTCCGCCAATAAATCGCCAACTTTGTAAACCACTTCCCTTTCGATTTCTGGCTCTTCATCGGATTCATCTTCCGAATCTTCTTCATCTTTCTCGGCTTCTATAACAGTTTCTTTAACAGTTCTTTGACCTTCATACAATTCGACTACAACAGATGAAGATTCTCCATTGGTAACTTCAATTGATTTTTTAATTGGGTACGCGGTCTCAGCAACCAAGATTGGCACAAAGTTTCCTTCTGAATCTTTGATACCAATTGGTTTGGATAAGTGCTGGGTGTTGACAACGATTGGTTGCAAAGATTCAGTAATCTCTGATTCATCAAAAGATTCAATCAATGACGCTTGCAATGCAGCTCCACGTGCAATCAATTCTGATGGGTTCAATGCTTTTGGATCCAATGATGGTGCGATAACTTTAGTAGATTGTGGGAAAAGGTAGGAGATATTGGAAGCTAATTTAGGAGTATGTGCAGTTCCACCAACCAAAAGAACTTCGTCAATATCCAAAGCTTCTAATCCGGCATTCTTGATGACTTTTTCGACAAATGCTGTCATTTTAGATAACACATCTCTAGCGGTCAATTCGTATCTCAACCTGTTGATACTTGTGTGGAAATCAAGTCCGTCAGCTAAAGATTCTATTGAGCAGGTAGAGGTTTGCACATTTGATAAAGTCTTTTTAACGACAATTGATTCGGCCTTCAATTTAGCAACTGATCTTGCATTGTTTCTAGGGTTGACTTTAGTCTTTTTTTCAAACTCCTTGGCGAAAAACTCTGACAAAGCAATGTCTAATTTATCACCACCTAACCCATGTTCATGTGCAGTTGCAAGAATGGTCAACACACCACCTCTCACAGAAATTACAGCTCCATCAGATCTAGTACCACCGAAATCAGCAACAACATAAAGTTTGTCTTCGCTTAATTTGTCCTCAGGCGACAAGTGATCTAATAAAGCAGCTGATGGCTCATTGATTAATTGCAAAACTTTAAGACCAGCACTTTCAACGATTTTGGTGAGCTCTTCCTTTTGGTGTTCATTGAAATCTGTAGGCACAGTTAAAACAACACTCTCGACCTCCTTCCCAATAAAGTCTTCGGCAGCTGATTTTAATTGCTTGAAATGTCTCTTTGTCACCTCATTAATGGTCAATGTTTGGGGTCTTCCGTCTATGGTAACTTCGTATCCAACCTCTCCATTAACATCTTTAGGCTTAGCACCAACGGAAAACTCATCGTTGATCTCTGAAAACTTTTTACCAATGAAGTCCCTAAAGTTAACAATAGTGTTTTCTGGGTTTCTGATCAACCTTGACAAAGCTTGGGATCCATGGTATTCGTCGGATCCAACATAAGACAATGCCGATGGAATTGCACGGTCTCCATCGGGGTTTGCAATGACATCAACTTTGCCATCAGTGGCTACGGCAATTGATGAGGTAGTGTTTCCAAAAGTAATTCCAATTACTGACATCTTGAACGTAGTAGTATGTTTAGTTGAATCGAAATATTGGTCTTTGGTGATGACTTCTTTACCCTATTCGACTTTAAACTGTGAAAAAAATAATAAAAAAAAAAGAAAAAAAATGGTGTAAAAACTTTTTCACGCAGATTGCGGCGCTACCTCTAGGTGGCTAATCTATGAGAATGTGAGCCACAGATAGAAAGAGTGGGTAGAAGTGTAATGCAACAACCAACAACTTTTCGTGTATTAAAAGAAACAGATACCTCTTAAAGTATAAGTTTATATTTGTACAAGCCTTCTTTTAGATCACTAATAGGATTTTCGTCATTTTCAACCAGGAGCAAAACATAGAGCTGACAAGAAATCTAGAGCCTGAAGGTTGATATGATGCCAGTACTGTGTTTCCTTTTCAATGTGAGGGATGCTCGTTATTAAGAGTACTACTATCGATGGCTATTTTCCTCTAGTGAAAACAGAGAAGTTTTAGAAGTAGTCTTCTCACTACTGAACATCTACGATGCATTTCTTTGTATCCGTGGAACAAGTTATCGAAGAATGGTGTCAGTTCGATTTTTAAAGTCTTGTAGATAATAACTACAAGCATGTAGTTGTGCCAACAATTTTGCAATAGATTAAACGCAAAATATAAAAGACCTTAGATGATGGGATATCCTCGTTCCCCAATTGTCATATTTACCACCCACAGTCCCCTGAATAGCATATCTAGTTGCTTATTTGATTCAAGAAAGGTAACTTGGTATTTTCACAGCTTAAAATTTGATTGAAACTAGGTCAAGAGGTCACAAAGAATAATGACTGCGAAAATTACAGTGGAAACCAAAAAAAAAAATACTAAATAGTAAAGCGGAGAAGCATGACAAATCAGTTTTTTAATTCACCTAGCTTTCTTTAACTTTCCCACCGCCACACAATGAAAACCAATAATAGACAAATGAAGAACCTCTACTACACAGCTGTTTATGCTACTCCTGTCAATGCGTTATTGGTGCTTGATACAGAGGGCAGACTTTATTACGCGTCATTAGGTCAGAATATTACTGATTTACAAAACCTTCTTGTCAAGGATTTCCGCAGTCAAAGTCACGTCCAGTTGAAACCATTAAGCACACTAACTGACAAGATCAAAGCTGAAAATACTATTGCAAAGTTCAAGCAGTTGATCGAGGATCCTAAGGAACCACAAGACATTCCCATTGAGATTCTTTTCGGGACGCGTCTACAACGCAGAGTATGGCAAGAATTGATCGACATACCAGTAGGGCAAGTAAAGACATACGGTCAAATAGCTGAACGTTTAGATTTGCTGGAGAAATTTGCACGCGCGGTCGGTGCTGGCTGCGGTGCCAATCGGATTGCAATTGTCATACCTTGCCACCGAGTAGTAGGTGCAGATAGGAAATTGACAGGCTATAGGTATGGAACAGAGACAAAGGCGTATCTATTAAAGCATGAATTGGGGAATAAGTTTTCCGAGATGGTATTACAAGGAGTGGGAAAGAATTGATTTTGCTGAGAAGGTAGTATTTATATAGTCGTTAAAGAAAGTCTTCTTTTATTTTGCCTTCCTTTTGGATATCGCTTTTGCATTCTCTCGGAAGTAAGTGCAAGCTACAACCTCTTCCTTAAAGTTCCTGTAAACTAGAAAGATGTGTGGAATTAAAATGAGCACGTGATACATTCAAATTGTGTATTAAAATAGAGAAACATTTTTCTCAGAAATTGGTCCCTTGGCCCAGTTGGTTAAGGCGTGGTGCTAATAACGCCAAGATCAGCAGTTCGATCCTGCTAGGGACCATACATTTTTTTTGCAACCACTTCAAGTTTGCCTTGCCTTTCTAGACCACAAGTATCTTGTTATTGGGATGGAGCTTGTGAGTGCAATCAGCTGAGACTTTTTTTTTGTTTTTTTTGCAATTTCCATTGAATCTTGAGCTATTAGGTTTCTGCTTCTCCCATTTAAGTTCACGTGAAGAGAGAATGCCATCGTGTAAGGTTGTCGATTTTATTGTGTCAAGAAGTGACAAGTCTTTGTATCCCAAGGGTTTTGCTACAATGAAGCAACAAAGTATCATACATAGAGAAGCAAACACACATCAAGACACTCTTATTCACTAGGATAAAAGTATATATAGAACTCATTAACAAGACTACGAGTGACATCACATCAATAGTACTCCACATAAAAACTCAGTCAAACCGTTTACACAACTCTCTTAACGCTTCCAGATTCTTCATTACCGCATCAGCAACTCGAGCCATTGCCTTTTTCTTAGATTTATCAGTGGTTGAAGCAACAAATATTTTCCTCGCTAACAACTGCACAGTATGTTTGCCGTTCTTCGATTCAGTAATAACGTATTCAGGTTTAGTTCCTGTTTTAGTACCCAATATAGCATACAATTTGTTTTTAGCATCAACATCGACGTCAACATCGTCAAGAACCTGAAGGGGGAATAAAGATGTACGAATTGGCGAGTCGGGACTTTTTGATGCCTCATCATGAGACTTCTTCACTGCCTCTTCTTGTTCCTTTAGTTTGCGCTCCTTCTCCAATTTCTTTTCTTTCATACGCTCATTTCTGGATTCCCTGATTGGCCGTTCGATAGATTGCCTTTCGATCACATACTTTTCCAACGCCGCTGTGTTCTGCAATGCCTTCATGGCAGCACGGAGACTTGCGTTCTTGGTATTGTGATCTTCTCCCGTTCCCAAGACTTCATCTCCCATCCTACACTCAACAACGAATTTGGTTGTTAGGCCGTCACCTTCAACAGCGGTAACATACTCGGGGAATGCATCAGCTCTTCCAATAAGCGAGTATAGCTCCGTTTTGGCTTCTTTATCTACTACTTCTGTAACAAACTTTTTCTCCACTTTATTTAGTAGTGGCTTATAAAGCTGTTCCAACCATTTCTTCACTCCACTTAAATCAAGTCCTCTTTCCAAGCTTAATGCACCAATATATGCTTCAAATATATCAGCATACGCTTTTTGTTCTCCCAACTGCAAAACTTCCTTTGCTACATTTGATCGTAATTTCTTATCAAACCCATATTCAAGAGCAAAATCCCTCAATACCTTATTATTGATTAATTCGGACCTGATTTGGGACAAGATACCTTCTGAACTGACAGGGAACTTTTCATAAATCATTAAAGTAATCAAGTTATTCAACACTGAATCACCAAGAAACTCCAATCGTTCATTGTGGCTATTTATCAAAGTACGGTCAGTGAGGTAGGTTTTGTTATTGACATTGGACTTGTGGGTGAAAACTCTTTCGTACAAGTGGATGTCATCAATTACTGGTAAGCTCGGTAAAGTGTGCGCAACTCCATTTGGTGAGATGTCATTAACGGCTACATGTGCTATAGCAAGTCGATCGTGACTGACACCCTCTTTACTATCCAAATTGTTTAACTCTTCTTTATCTTCTTCCGTGACTATAAGAGTTTCATTAATGATTTGGTCGAGAATTGGTGCTTGTCCAATTCTATACTTTGTTTTCAATCTCGATGCTAAAGCCATCAAATCGCTTTGTTTCAAGTCGCTTCTGGTGGCACTGCTGATTTCTTCTGAGTTTAGCAATGCTTTTAGTTGATTATGGTCGGGAGCTTGGGATAGTATTACCTTTGCATTCTTTTGTAAACTTTTAGTTGCATGTTCAACACGTTGTAAGTCAAGGAAACCGATAAATTTAGGTGGTTCAACATCATATTTGGGGTCATCGGGCTTTTCACCTTCGTTCTTCTCTGCTGCAACAGACTTGTGCTTCTTTGCTGCTGGATCGCCATTTACTTGCTCATGGGAGGCGTCACTCACACTGGAAGAGGTTCTTTTTCTTAAAATGGTGCCTGATTTGGTTAAATTGGGATTACGTTGTAGAGCAGATTCGTTTCTTCGCTTTTCACCCGCTTTGACTTTTTTCAAAAAGTCCACAGAAGCAGGATCTTTCATATTTGGATCTAACTGCATCTGGTTATCTAATGAAGAAAATTGACGACGAGTAAAGGGGATAATATGTGGGAGATTTTTATTAAATCAAATACATGAATCAAAAAAAAGAAAGAGAAAATTACTCAAATGTTTGAGTAATGAGATAGGTGCAGTTTTCAAAGTTTTCGAAGTTTTCGAGGTTTTCAAAGACACCACCCACATTGAAGAAAGACTTCCTGTATGCTATCAGATTTGGGAGGTGAACGAGGATTGATTAGAAGTAAACGACTATTTTACAACGTCGATTGAGGGCAAGTAATTCGTTAGAGTAGGCTTTAATGTAGGCTAGTCAAATCTTTCATCACTAAAGCAAAAGGATGTCCCTACTTTTACATTTAACCTGAATGAACGCATTCTTTTTTTGTCTCATCGACACCCTGTTAGAACCAAGTTCACTGAGTTTGATGCCAAGTTACAAGAGCTCACCACTTCCCGTCTTCAATTGTCTCATTTGATAAATCTCATGACAATTGCATTTTTTTCCCGACACACACACTTTCTTATAACCAAAGTAACCACCAAAAAAAGAAAGGAGGAAGGAAAAAAAAAAAATTGTAGAAAAATTTTCCAGAGAATCTTACCAACAGAGTCTATCAAACGATACAATATGATTATAAGGTCAACTATAAATAACATACGAAGGTCACCAATAAGCCTATTCAGGCCATCGACAATTGTTCATTTTTTTTCCACGACAACATCAGTTCACAATGCAGTAGTAGCAACACCAGATGAATTCATACCAACTACTGAAGAACAGGCTAAATTCTTACAACGAACCACCGAAAAGCCGCTATTCTCGAGAAAGACCTATCTTATAGATAACTACAAACACCTCAATGATACCAACCAGATTTTGTTATTTGTTCACCATAATAATTTGAACAAGGCAGAAAATAAGCAAATTAGACAAGATTTAACCAAGATTGGAGCTAGATTGACCATGTTGAAAAACACCCTTTATCAAACGTATCTCAAGTCGAGCCATGAACAAGACCCAGCAGCTGTAGGGATGACTCATAGAAACAAGAATGCCAACCATCCCTTATTGCCTTTATTTGTTGGACCTACTGCCTGCATAAGTATACCTGAATGTGAACCAGCTAAAGTACAACAAATTGTGAAATTGTTGAAAAAAATGAATGAGAAATTAATTGTTGTTGGGGCCAAGATTGAAAAATCGTTTATGAATAGGTTGCAGATTGATGAATTTAAGGATTTACCAAATAAGGAAGGATTACAGGGACAATTGGTGGGATTGTTGACCATGTTAGGAGGGGTTGGGTTGGTTAGAACCTTGGAGACACCGGGACATATGGTTTATTTGACTATGGAACAAAGAGCTAAAGATCTTGATCCAAGTAAGGAAGAATAGACTAGATAAGAGGTTGCTTCATTTATATGTAAATAAGTTTTCTGAATGAACGTAGTAAGTTGCAAAAGAAAATGTGCCAGTGTAAAATACAAAACGAAAGAAAAATAAAAAAAAAGTGCGACGTAAATTAGAATAAGCTCATCACGGCAGCTTCCCAAGATATTCCATAGCAAGGCTTACCACTTCCAGTGACAAAGAATGCCAGAAACAAGCAAGGAAGTGATCCATAAAGCACCCAAGCAGCAAGCACCCAAAAAGCCAACTCCAAAGCACAACCACGATCGAAATGCTGATACAAAGCGTAAACTATATCGAGAGTCAATGGAAAATGTTCGTAAACAGGTTCGTATAGAAACTCCACCCGCCAGTACCCCACCCGCCACAGCAATATCTCCATCTGATACATTAACATCTACTGAACTGACACCAGATTTGACAGAATTACCACGTAAGAGGTTTTATCGTCAACGAGCTCATTCAAACCCATTCTCTGATCATCGCTTAGATTACCCAACCTCACCATCCACCATGGATTGGTCAGCCATATACCCCAGTGCATCGCTTGGTCAGAATAGTAATAGTAATAGCCGCAAAGTGGAAATTGCCGATATTGGATGTGGCTTTGGTGGGTTAATGATTGATTTGGGCCCCCAATTCCCCGACTCGTTGATTCTAGGTATGGAAATACGAGTACAAGTGACTCAATACGTTGAAGATCGAATTCTTGCATTGCGCAAGTTGCATGAGTCAGATCCAGTTTACAAATACGATAATATTGGGGTCATACGAGGCAATGCTATGAAATTCTTGCCTAATTTCTTTGCCAAGTCGCAATTGTCAAAGATGTTTTTCTGTTTTCCTGATCCTCATTTCAAACAACGTAAACACAAGGCTAGAATCATAACTCATACGTTGTTGAGTGAGTATGCTTATGTTTTGAAAGAAGACGGCGTCATTTATACAATTACTGATGTTGAGGATTTACATCATTGGATGGTTAAACATTTGGAGCAACACCCATTATTTGAACGTTTGAGTAAAGAATGGGAACAACAGGATAAATGTGTTGAGATCATGTATAATTCAACAGAAGAAGGACAAAAGGTGGAAAGGAATAAAGGATCCAAGTGGGTTGCTTGTTTTAAAAGGTTGCCCAATCCTGATGACTGTGAATAAACTTGGAAAGGTAAATGGTAATTCAATATTTATTCTGGAACATACTTCTGGAAAAAAATAAATAATATAGGCTGAGCTACAACTGTGAATGTGTCAGATGTTACGTATATATATAATAATAAAAAAAGGATAAACGATGATTGGGCTAAAGAATTTCGAAGAAGGGACAGAAGTTAAGACATAAAACAAAGCGAAAATTGATACATTCACGCGAGTCAGTTCTCAAAAGCAAATGCCCCCATCTCTTTCTTTCTCTCTCTCACCTTTTCCCTAAACTATCAAGTATTCAACAACAATGATCAGAAGTAGGAACCTAATAGTATTCACTCTTGACAGTATTTTGTATGTTTCTTTCTCTCAAGTTAGCTTCACCAGTAGCAGCTGAAGATGTACTAGATCCAACAGGCACATTAACATTAACACCATGAGAATCGGCAGCAGTTCCATAGGAAGTTGCCTTTGAATCACCAACAGTTGAACCAGCTGTTCTTCTTGGGGCAAACTTTTGCAAATATGGACCAACTGGAGTTTGTCTCAATGCTTCATGAATTTGATCGACAAGTTTGCTCACTTGTTGTTTGAAACAAGCAGTATATTCACCAACAAAAGCATCAACTTGTTTTTTATTGGCAAGATAAGCTGGTGGGACGGCAAACAACAAAATAACTGAAATAATGGTCAAGGCAAACAATGAAACAACTGAGGTTAATTGGTAAAAGATGTATGAAATACCAGCAAATTTCAAAGTAGTTTCAACATTTCTTGAATAAACAATATAATTCAAGTGATGTTCAATTGCTACGTTCAATTCACCAATTAATGGCAAAAGATGCTTGTTGACAGGTTTAGCAAATGAGGTAGAATAATTCTTGTAGAAATTGCTGACAAAACCTTGGCCAGTAAACACTTTACCAATATATTCAGCGCCAGCAGAAAATAACAATGTAATGTAAGAAATCTTGAAAAAGATACGAACCAAGTCAATTGTTTTGAAGAGAATTAACCCACCAAGGGTCAAACCCAAGATTTTACCAGTGTAAACTGGATTCTTCCAAGTTAACAATTCAGTCAAGAAATCTTCTGCTTCATGAATTGGATGGTTGGGATCAGCATCTGATCTCAATGCGGATGTTGCAGCACTTGGGTAAGAAGATGAGGAGGAGGTGGATGACGAAGTAGCGTTCTTTGAACCCAATCCTGCACCAGAACCAGCATGAGACGAAGTGGAGTGAGTGGTGGCATCTTGGTGCAATTCGTTTTTCGAAGGTGTTGGTCCACTAGAATAGTGGGAGCTTGATTCACCAATTGGAGGAGGAATTTTACTACCAGATGGAATTGCTGATTCGTGTTGTTGTTGTTGTTGTTGGGAAGTGTGGGAAGGTTGTTGTCCAGATGATGAAACACTTGAATGAGCCCATCTTGATTCGTCAAAATCAGGAACTGGACCCCCTTCTTCAATTGGGTTGTTCGAAGATTGGTTTTGAGAAGTGTATTGAGGAACTGATGACATTGTTTGAAAATGGTTTAACTTAGTCAATGTTGTTATTAAACTTGATGTATGACTTTTGGTAAAGAAAAAGAATGTGTTGAAACTTTGTAAAAGAATTTAAAAAAAAATGTGAAACTGATTGTGGAAGGGGCAAAAATTTAAATTTAAAAAAATCATTTGCTATTTTTTATTATAAAAAACATTTGGTAGCTCCTCTTTATAGCAAAAATTAAAACAATAGAGACCACACGACAACAATTATATACAGCAAACAACGCATGACAGCAAACGGGAGTACATTACAATAATCAATAGGCCTACTTTAACCTATTAACCCTTCAGTGACTACATTGTTAGAACATTCTTTTCCTGCCTTAAAATAATGGCAAATCAAGATGCAGTAAAATTTTGCACAATGTGTGGCACTTTATTCTCGTCTACTGAATAACCTAAAGCGGTAACAACTTTAACTTTGTACAATACAAAGATAACCACACTTTGTTCCCACTTATTGCTTTTCTTAACATTTTGTAATTTTACAACGCACATCTTGTAGTATAGCAAACAGGCTTCAACAAATGGTGTATGTTTTGTTTCGGTCGTTTGGTTTTCCTCAGCTGTCATCATCACTCCTTTTGCTGTCTGAAATTTGTAGCAAGCTTAATTGATTTTGTAACTTGTAACTTGGACAAACCACAAAACAATACAAAGATAGATAGACGTCAATTTAAAACCATACTTGTGTGACATAAAGCACTAGAGAAGGAAGCTCTGTCCAATTATAAGAATAAAAAGAGAGGTTACGTCATATTTTATTACAGTCTGCCCCTAACTTTTAGTAACAGCAAAGTGCTTTGGTTTTTTATTTTTTTTTTTGCAACCTTTAGTCTAAGATTTATCGCTAAATAATTTCACTCAATTACTAACTAGACTGTTACGATGAACTAGAAATTGAATATTGTTAGTAGTGTCGATTCTCATTGAAAGTGCTAAAAGAGTCACGAAAGCAAAACATCACATCGCATTTGAAATTGGCCTTTTCCATCCTTTGTCTTGACATCGTGTGACAACAAAAGGCAAAAAAAGAGAGAAAGACAAATTTAGTTCTATGTCACATTAGTGGCTATCGCGACACCATCATACATGCATTGCAAACTATGACCACAGTTTAGCAGAGATAAGAGTTTGTGTAGTCAGACATAAAACGAGAAAACCAAAAATTCAACAAAAGACATTCAAAATACCAAAGGGCCCTCCCTGCCTGTCTCTCTGACATTGTGTGTCTCTTAATTTTTCTCACAAAATCGAATCTCATAAAAAGTATGTGGGTAGTGCTCTAAACACAACGAGGATACAAAGTAGAACGGTAAAGAAAAAGTATTGCTTGCTTCCAGCCATGTACGTTCCAGTTGCTCAAATACATACAGTTGTTGAGGAACAATTGCATACATCTTGAAAAAACAACAAATATTTTCGTTCCATAGACAGAACAGTAACTTCGTTGGTTGCATCTACTTTGTTTTGCAACTCCATAAACAAGTCGTGTGCTTTGGCCACGAAGTTAAAGAGCCTTGGACTACATACATCAACATCTTCTTTTTTTCAACTTTGTATAACCCCTTTCATATCCTATTTCACGTTGGAAACTTTAACATCCTAGTATCTCGAGTAGTTTCAGCGTACCATGAACTGCTCACGTCAATATAGAAAATTGAACAAGTGCATCTCGAAACAGTAGAAGCGTATTGTACCAATGGGTTAAAGGGAGATGACATTCGGTACAAAGAGCAAACTGCCATCAGTTACTACGGTGAAAATGAAAAGCTTGACCTCTGATTTTTATATAGGACCCATTTGGATGCTGATTTTTTCTCGGTGTCAAACAATAGGACCACTTTTGCAACTTTGTATCACAACCTTTGGTGTTTCCTTAAACTGGCCACTCACTCTGCCTATATAAAACCACAGCCTCTGGAACGTGTTCTAAAAATGTTTTGGTTCACGTTTTCCGTATACATCATGCAGCTTTCCGACTTGCCTATTGAACTACTCGTCAGAGTCCTCCCAATAGAGGATTATCTTCTAGACTTGCCGAATGAGATCATCATTCCTTGGTTGAATTTGTTGCCCCAGGTGGAACTGTTTAGAATTTTAGGGGATAGTGGATGTGGTATAATGCTTACCAAAGAACGTCCGAAAGCATACACCACCATATCAGGTAAGATATGCACCAAATATGGAAATTGTTTTGAAGAAGTAGACGCTGCTCTTCAAAAAGTATTTGAAAAATTTGCCTACAAGATCTTTATCATAGCTGGACAACCTATTGAAGCCAAATATTACAAGAAGTATATAATATTTGACTTTGAAACAGTGAGGCATTTGATTTGTGAATACTATCCTTTACTGAGCTGTCTTCAAATTTGGACAGGGTGTGATCTACGAGTTGTTGATCTTTGTATTCCTTATTTTGTGTGGAATGAGTATGAGAATATAAAAAAATTGAGTGTTTTCCACCCTTCAAGGTTTCATGTGGCTCCCGAATTAATAAAGTTTTCCAACTCTTGGTTTAACGACAATGAACTATTGAATCAATGGGCAATACTTAGCTGCTGCCAAGATTGGGAGCAGTGTATTGAAAACTTGGAGATAACCATGTCTGTTGATGAATTTATTGAAATGAAAAACAATGTTTCATATATGCTTAACCTTTTACAACCTAAAGAGGTGAGGATACACTTGAATTTGGTTGAAAACAGAGCAGGAGGCGAAGAAAGCACAAAACATCCAACTGATTTTCCTATTGAATGGATCACTGATTTGCTCGTTGTAAATAAGGTTCAGATATTTACTTTGCATTATTTTGAATCCCACACTACATTTAATGCCCTTGGAAAATTACTTCGAGAGATGCCCCTACTTTTGGAGCTCGATCTAAGCTTTGGAAAGTTGGACCTAGAGAATGTTGCAGGGTTGGTGCCATTCAGAAAGAATGACTGCCACATTCAAGTCAAGGTTGACAAAAGCTTCTTTGATACGTACCAGTTCCGGTATAACAAATCAGTTTGGAAGATAGATATCGAGGACACGTTTGTTGAAGCTAGGTATGTTAAAAGGGCATTTGGACGTGACTCTACTGCGGAACCGTTAACCTTTGCACGATGCATTGGTCTTTGGTTGGAGTATCGAAGACGGAAAAGAAAACAGCGAAGGGGTACATCAGTTAAGCATGCTAGAGGGTGCAAAGACGTAGCGGAATAGACAAAGAATAGAACTAGATTTAGATTTAGAGTCAAAGTGCGTGTATATCCTAACTGGTTGCTTTATATTTTGTTTTAAAGTTCTATAACTTCGGTATTTTCTCTTTGCTAACGAATTAAACCGTCTTACAAGTACTCCACAAAGCAACAGACTACTCCATCTCACATACTAAAACTATAACTAATACAAGGTGATATTGTTTTGGACACTAAACCAATGTTACNAACACAACGATTTGCTTGGCAAACCACTTCAACTTCATTAGAAACAATTCTCTGAGCTTTAAACTTCAAAAACTCCGAAATTTAAAAAAAATAAACAATTACTCACTAGCTATGCTACCTATATATATATATATATATATATATATATAAGTAAACCAAACACTAAGCAAAACTCAACTAAT